AGCTCTACAAGTTCGTCCGGGATTAAGAAGGGCCTTACGTATGCAACAATTGGAGGAATCGTTCCCGATAATTTCCAATTGGACGTGGGGATGCTCTTGAAGTAATCCTGCCCGTGCTCTTGGCTTATAGCCAAAATGATAATATCGCACGCCTTGACTGTTGCGTAAAATTCTTGGTCATCACCTATTATTTCATCTACCATTTCAGTCTGTTCTCTGTATGGGATGAGGATGTTAGGGAAACCTCCCTTTCCTAACATCCGTATTCGTATCTTTCCGAAATATTTTGCATTCTTTGAATTCTCTAAGAATGGTACCAAAAGATTCCAATCTCGCCTAATGGTTGCTCCAACGGAGCAAATTTCAATCTTCGTATCATTCTTTCTCTGGACAAATTCTGCACTGACCTGTGGTAAAGCTGATGGAATGAAGTAACGTTCGTGGTGGGGAGACATTTGAATTGCATTTGGCATATCCTCCGTCTTGCTACATCTCCCGTGATGAATGCACACGTGCGGGCCGTTTTTCTTTATACTCTGCAACCAAGGTCTTGCATAGCGATCGCAATGGCAAGTTACCTGAATGGTGGTATCCCACGAGGTCCGGTTGGGTTTTGCCATCGCAGCCCTACCAAAGGATCGTGTAATTCCTGTCGTTTCATCAACTATCGATGTGTTGAACACCCGAACATTCATATCAAGAAGCCACGATTTGGTTCTCAACTTTTGACTCGAAGATGTATCAAATTCAAAGTGTAAATGTTGATGATTGCACCTATCCGATAAATTCAAGTATTCATATGGTATCAGTTTGGCAACTGACTCTATGACTTCGTAATGACTGACCACAAAGCAAACCAACGTGAGTCATCGGTTTTCCATCGCAATCGGAACCTCCAAGAATTTAAAATGCAAACTCGACTTACTGTGCGACTTTGTTTGTTACTCGAATTTGACAAGCTGGTAATCCGTTATTCCAGTCTTGCTTGGCTACTGGTACTATGTGGGCCTCATTTGATTTTGATTTTTCAGCTTCATTCTCTTCACTTAGTTTGCTAGAGTTTACCAAGTAACTGTCGGCAGCCTTGGACCTACGATATGACTTTTCAAAGGATGTGGTTTGATTTCCGCTGCGTATCGACAGTATAATGAGTATCGTTATTATCACAAATAGATTCAGACGGCGAAGGAACGTTCGTCCCTCCGATGATTGACTGTCATTGCGTATTTCATCGTTTCTTTGGCTGTAAAGCGATGATTGATGTGTTTCTTCGTCGTCATGGTTCATGGTTCATGGTTCATGTTCATGGCGGTGAGTACATTTTTTGATCAGAGGCTGATTCGAGGCTGATTTTATAAAAGACGTAGGATATGTACTATGCTCAACGTGAAAACAAATATTTCGTCAATATCGCCAAAATTGCCCAATATTAGTTGATCCAGATCGCTGATTGTCGATAATCGGACAAAGGCCCATCCCTAAATACAATAGATAAAGAAGCACTTTCCTAGGTGGAATTATGTTGTTGGACCAATTCCACATCTACGATCCTATGTTTCCCAGCAGTCAATACTTGTGTAGGACTGTGTAGGAGTAGTACCAGGAAAAACTAAGAAAGGCCTTTTGTGAAAAGTCGAATCTCATAGCGCCTTCTGACAACGATTTCCACTTACGGAGGCTTGTTGTACCCTTTCTATGATATAAAAGAGTTTCCGCTATGCGTTCAGTTCTTTGGTGGCCATATTTGGTAAAGAGCATTTAGAGATTGTAATTGTGGTCAATGGAGTCGATTTTACGTAGATTTTGTACCGTATCCACGTGTTTTGGTTTTGTGCAGCTAGCTCAGGAAACGGTTTTAACAAAAAAACAAAAATGCACCACGTGCCTCATTTGCACCACGGCGGAATTTGGTGCATTTTCGACCATTCCTAACAAAAACGGTGCCGCATTACCGGCCCTGTGCGGCAGTACCGGCCCTGCGTACAATTCTTTAAGTAAACACATGTAGATGCACTAAGGTGCGGTCAATTTTTTCCGCGACACGCAACAACAACAAAACAACAACAACAAGATGCTCGATTTTGATCTTGATGACGATTACGACACTGCTTTATTTTTTGCTCTCGCGCATTTAACACAACAACAAACGAGAAGACCCAAGTATCCAACCGAACGGGTCAATTGGGACGAACATCTTCAGAAAGAGTTGTATCAGAACTCGTTTCATAGGACATATTGCATGTCCTATCCCTCTTTCATGAAGCTAAAAGGATTATTGGGGGACAAAATAGTGCTAAATGGAGCTAGAAGCACAGCATCATCTGGCACAGCTCCAATCATTCCTCAAGTTGTTATGGCATGTGGAATTTGTTGGCTTGCCGGGGGGTCTCCAACCGATATTAAGAACGCGTATGGGCTGACCGTATCCACTGTTTACAGGTTGAGGGACTTGCTCTTGGATGCTGTGTGTACAACAGACGAACTTGACATCAGGCTTCCAGATCTTTCAAATCCTTCTGAGATATCTAAATTCCGGGCAGATTTCGAAAAATTAAGTTCTTCCGGTGTGTGCAAAGGTTGTGTCGGAGTTTTGGACGGAATGCTTCAACGCATAGGCAACCCATCGGTGGCCTGTGCTGAAGGCCAGGTGAGATCCTATTTTTCAGGACATTACAATTGTCCTGGATTAAATGTTCTTGCCATGTGTGATGCTTTTTTGCGTTTCACTTTTTTTGGCGTATTGAATCCAGGGTCCGCTTCTGACCGAATGACGTATCTCAAATCTCGGCTCCCAGCATTTGTGGACTCATTGCCATTCGGTACCTATGTCATTGGCGATGCAGCTTTTCCTCTAGGTGATAACCTGTTGATTCCATTCACCGGTACCTACAAACTGGATCCATCCAATGATGTTTATAACTTTCACATCTCTCAGCTCCGGATTAGGATTGAGATGGCGTTCGGCCATCTGAATAACAAGTGGAGAGTGCTGCGCAGACCGTTGGGAGGGAAGCTTGCTACGCAGTCACAGGTCCTCGAAGTTTGTGCCAGGCTTCACAATTTTGGAATTAATGAAAGGATACTTGGTGGTGTAATGACCTTGGAGTGACCTTGGAACTAGATTAGACCCTTTGGAGGTACAGACATAGCTTTAGGCCTAACGCTCACGTCACTCCTTTCTGTGGCTTTCTGAGAGACTCTATAACTTTTGTTGTGACCCATTCCTATCTCTTCTTCTAGGCTGGTTCACTATTCGAATAGCCATAAGGCTTAGATTGAAGACTACAAGAGTATACTCTCTCTCACACAAGCAACTGCTGTTTGATTTGATTGAAAAACCTCGATCCTTTCAGATTTACAACAAGTTTTACACACCAGTACTTTTTCTACGATGGCTTCTACGCACATGCTCCGTCAAACCATCATTGTCAATGAGGGCGACTCTCCATTGGCATAGTGTAATGACCTTGGAGTGACCTTGGAACTAGATTAGACCCTTTGGAGGTACAGACATAGCTTTAGGCCTAACGCTCACGTCACTCCTTTCTGTGGCTTTCTGAGAGACTCTATAACTTTTGTTGTGACCCATTCCTATCTCTTCTTCTAGGCTGGTTCACTATTCGAATAGCCATAAGGCTTAGATTGAAGACTACAAGAGTATACTCACACACACAAGCAATTGCCGTTTGATTTGATCGATCCTTTCAGATTTTCAACCAGTTTCACACCACGCAACAAACAGTCAAAATTACTATGCTGAGTCGCACTACAATCAAAAAGCTGAAAGCTTTGCTGCGGAATGCAGCGTTCCGGAATGGAACCAAGACGGAATGTCTTATGGCGGAATGCCAAGTGCCGAGCAGTACCAGCATCAGGGACAATATTATCAAGCTGAAGAAAATCAACAATGGAACGATCATTTCAACTTTGAACAGGAAAAATATTATCCTGAAGAGCAGGAGGCGCAAGAATGGGCGTCGCCAACTTTCATCATTCCAAAGAAGGACTGTAGGGTGCGATAGATCAGCGATTTCAGACAGCTGAAAAAGACTGTCAAGCGTAAAGTATACCCCTTGCCTTTGATTGATGATATTGTTGCGCGTCGTTCTGGCTACAAAAAATTCACAAAACTTGAACTCACAATGATGTATTATTCTTTTAAATGATGTATTATTCTTTGATAATGCGATTGCCGACTGCTTCTCTCAGCTTCGCGAATGGAGAAACTGTCTGAAGGGAAGAGTCCAAATAAGGCAGAAGAGACATCAATGAAAATAAGGCAGAAGAGACATCAATGAAAACTTGAGGAGACGGAACGCGAAGCGGAAAGAATTTTATTACAGAATTGGTGGAGAAGTTTTGATCAAGAATACTGATGGACGGAAGTTGGATCCAAAGTACAGAGGTCCGTATCCTATTACAAATGTTTACACTAATGGTACAGTGGAAATTCAGCGCACAAATGCGATCCGTGAGAGGATCAACATCAGACGGCTTGTGCCGTTCCGTCGAGTCTAATGGACGATATGCTTGCATCGCCCATTGCGTCAAGAACCACCTCTGAAGTTGAATGGAGAATCAAGTGGATGTAAGGACGCCTTGTGACTTTTAGTGTATGATCAATCGACTGGCTCTGATCATAGAAGGGAAGAGTGTAATGACCTTGGAGTGACCTTGGAACTAGATTAGACCCTTTGGAGGTACAGACATAGCTTTAGGCCTAACGCTCACGTCACTCCTTTCTGTGGCTTTCTGAGAGACTCTATAACTTTTGTTGTGACCCATTCCTATCTCTTCTTCTAGGCTGGTTCAATAACGAGCATACCGACAACGGCGTCAGCTTCTTGCCAGCCCCCTTTTGGAACCAACCACTCCCTGCTGACTTGTGCCGAGCTACCGTCCACATTACGCCTTCGCTAGGTTCTCTAGCCCTCACCGGCATTGGGACAGTACCGCTGCAGCCGCATCACGACTCTCAACCGTCTTTGCTAGCCGCCTGGATGGCCGCCTCAGCCAGGGTGACCGAGTATGTTGGCTGGACCCCTGAAGAAATTGAGATCGATGGCGACGAAAGCCTCCTTGCTGAAGCCCTACTCAAAGACCGGTTGTGTGTGATCAGCGACGGTTCTTATAAGCTCGGTCTGGGCACGGCAGCGGTTCAACTGCTTCCACGTAAGGGTGGCACAGAACCTATTATCGTCCGGTGCCAGACTCCAGGTCTAACTGACGACCAGAGCGCGTACCGGAGTGAACTGATTGGCCTACTTGCCGGTATCATGGTTGTTGATTGGCTCCTCGACCAGTGGGCCCCAACACTTCGATCACCACCCCGCGTTAGGATTGCGTGCGATGGATTTTCGGCGTTGCTCAACACCTTTGGTGACAATCAAGTCACACCGCAACAAGCCCAGTTTGACCTGATCTCCTCTATCCGGGAGGCACTTGCCCGCTCTAGGGCCTCGTGGGAACCTAGCCACGTGTACGGTCACCTCGATACGGCGACATCCTTTTCCTGCCTCTCTTGGTGGTCTAAACGGAATGTGGAAGTGGATGCGTGGGCGGTTGCCTATCGCCACCAGCTTGAGGCTTCACACCAATCGATCGCACCTAACGCTCGTTTCTTTACCGAATTGGCTGCCCTTTACATTGGGGACGTCAAACAGTCGCGATTGAATCCAGAACAGGTCCAGGAACTTGTGGCGCTGCCTGCTCTACGCAAGCGATGGCACGAGCGGCAGACAATTACACCAGAGGCAGAGCTGGAGACCGATTGGACCAGTCTGGCTCGCGCCATGAGCTCTCTTCCGGCAGGTGTCCAACGTTGGACCACAAAGCATGTCGTGGGTATGTGTGGTGTAGGGAAGTTCAAAGTCCGGTGGGGTTCCGCCGACTCAGCTGCATGTCCCTGCTGCGGCGAGTTCGAGGACCACCTTCACGTCCCTCGATGTACGGCACCTTCGGCTAGTGCGGAATGGGATCGCCGGACGGCGTCTTTGGACCAATGGCTGGACACTCAAGTCACTGACCCAGCAATCAAACACGCTATTCTCCACCTTCTTCAAGGGGTTTGTGATCCGTCCCTACCTCGCAGTCGATTGGTTCCGGTTCGTCTTCGCCACGCTTTCCTCTCTCAACAACGCATCGGCTACCAAGGTTTATTGGAAGGCCGGCTGTCTGTTCAGTGGGCGGCCCTGCAGGAACAGTACCTTCAGTCACGTGGGAGCCAACGCTCTCCGCACCTGTGGGTCTCTCGCCTGTCGCATCAGCTGATCTTGCTTGGATTTCATATGTGGGAACACAGGAACTCGGTGCAACATTCGGAGGACAACGTACAGCTACGCGAACGTAGCCGATTGGTGAACGACGGTATACACTCTCAGTTTGATATGGGCCCAACCGACCTCCCCAAGGTAGTTCAACGCATGCTCGCTGTG